TTTTTTTTTTGGAGAAAGCTTAGAGCCCTGATTTTTTTTTTAAATGCGTGAGCCTCATTAATGGCAAGTCCATTTCCTTGGGACTTCAGACTTGTTTATTCTAACAGAAATATTTAAACCTATACTGCCTTTCCTTCAATCCTTCAATCTCTTCTTCCCAGGGGCCTCTTCATTATTGATGATAAGGGTATCCTTCGGCAGATTACTATAAATGACCTTCCCGTTGGCCGCTCTGTGGATGAGATCCTGAGATTAGTTCAGGCCTTCCAGTTCACTGACAAACACGGGGAAGGTAAGTCATCTTCTTGCTGATAGGCTAGTATTGGTGGTGGGGAGGGATAGATGGTAGGATCAAGGGGTACCAAATAAAAATGTCTATTCAAGAAGTTAAATTCTGGCTGGGTGCTTGTGGCTCATGCCTATAATCCTAGCTACTCAGGAGATTGGGTTTCAAAGCCAGCCTAGGCAAATAGTTCTCGACACCCTATCTTGAAAAAACCCATCACAAAAAAGGGCTGGTCAAGTGGCTCAAGGTGTGGACCCTAAGTTCAAACCCCAGTACGGCAAAAAAAAAAAAAAAAAGTTAAACTCTGGATTATAGTGATTTATGGGGGTGAAGATACGGGAAAATTTGGGAGAATAAAGGCCTTTTGTTCAAACTGCATATTCTCCACTTCTGCTCTGCTTATTCACAGATGTATTAAGACAAAACAAAAGGTTGAGAATCAATCACATAGAGATAAAGCAGTACTGGGGCTTGAACTCAGGACCTATACCTTGAATTACTCCACCAGCCCTTTTTTGTGATGGACTTTTTCCAGATAAGGCTTCTGGAACTATTTGCTCAGACTGGCTTTGAACCTGGAGCCTTCTGATCTCTGCCTCCTGAGTAGCTATGATTATAGGCATGAGCCCCAATGCCCGCAAAGCATGCAATTTTGACAACTTTATTAGAAGAACTTAATCCTTACAGTTCACATTTGTTTTTATTGAAGTTTTAAAAAATAAAAATAATATGCCTAGTTTTAAAGTTTTAAAAATAAAAATGGAATAAAGATAATTTACCCAAAGACATACAAACGGAGATAGAATTAATATATTTCTATCATTTAAAAACCAGTTCTGCAATCTGGGTGTGGTGGCATGTACCTATAGTCCTAGCCACTGGGAGGCTGAAGCAGGAGGATTGTTTGAGCCCAGGAGTTAGATACCTGCCTGAGCAACATAATGAAACCCCTCCTCTTTGATTTTTTTTTTTTCTCGTGGTACTGGGGTTTGAACTCAGGGCCTTGGCCTTACTAGGCAGAGACTCTTACCACTTGAACCATGCCCCCAGTCATGAGACCCCTTCTCTTTAAAAAAAAGGACTGGATGACATGGCTCAAGTGGTATAGTGTCTGCCTAGCAACTGGAAGGTTCTGAGTTCAAATTTGAGTACTGAAAAAAAGTCCATTCTGGTAAGAACCACATTTATCAAGTACCAAATTATGTAAATGTTTATTATAAAAACTTTTATAAGTCACGAAGACCAAAAAAGGGTGGAGTGTTTTGAACTGTCAGGATCAAAGATAATCTTGTAAGTCATCCTTGTAAAACCTAAATGTAATTTGGCACATCCAACTTTAGGGGGTTTGTTGTTGTTAGGTTTTTTTGAGAGAGATCTCATTATGTAGCATAGACTGGCCTCAAAACTTGGGATCCTCAGCTTCTCTAGTGTTAAGATTACAGGTATACACCACCATACCTGGCTCCAGCTTCTGTTTTTAAATTTGTCATTTACTAGATTATAATCCCTTATACAATTGTCTCAACTCTTGTTCTTCTCTCCTTGTATACACATGATAGTGTTGTGATTTAAGAAAAGCATTGAATGGGTTGCGGTGCATGTCTGTAATTCCAGC